TTATAAAAGGGGTAAATCAATGTTGCTACATCTTAACATTCATTGCACTAATATTAATCATAATGGATTCTTGGAGATGGATGCAAATGTGGGAATGCAGTTGAAAAGCAACATTAATTCATTCCCAGTTGTTATTAAATGTCAGAAGATATTCATAGTTTTGCTGATATTTTCCTGTTTAAACCACTTGGTGTAAAAAAAAAAACAAACCACCATCAGTGCGATGTATTTTCCTGTGCAAAGTCATCAAGATAATTATCTCTGAATCTTTTGTGTTATGTTTCCTTTCAATGTAGTGTCCCAGATCTGCGTTTTTGGGAAAGATCAAAGTATAGGGTGTAAAGGTGGTGATAGACTGTGTACCTCATTCCCACAGAAATCAATTAAAGGTCTTCCATTTGGGAAGTGGGCACAATGGGAACAGAAACAGACTTAGTATCACGATATGTGATTTCTCTTGCCATCGGTAAAACAGATTTTCTCATTTATCATATCCTCTGAGATGTTTAAATTTTGAATGTCAACTGATTCAAATTTTATGTTCAGGGAATCCAGGCACTGAGGTGATTTGTGTTTAGGGCATTGAACTGGGACTCAGTAGATCTGGGTTTGTTCTGTCATGCATTTCCCATGTGATCTTATGCAAATCCTATATTGCCTCTTGCGCAGTCTCATCAGTAAAATAGGGTAATGTTACTCTTCTTGTTCGAAGGATTTGTGAACATTTGGATGGCTTATCTACAGCGGATTGCTGAGGGCCATATGAAAATGTACAATCTTATTTAAATGTACTGCTTTACATATATATCCTTCTTTCATTTTATGGTTCTGCATCTGCTGCTTTCTTACACCTTCCTCATGGGACTTTTTCTTTCATTCTTTTTTTTATAAGCAATCTCCCACAGGCTGGCCTTCTCCTCCAAATACATGCTAATCGGGTCCTGGATTTTAAGCTCACCAAGGCAGGTAATCTGTATGAGTCGATATGTAAGTGTAGGAGAGGCACTATGTGAGCTATACTTCATGTGGATAATCTTTGGTGATCCAACTGACAGGTTTGTACTTGGGAAAGTAGATCTTTGATGTATTTTTTGTTACAGATATGTTCACGTAAATGATTCAGATGTACAATTCTCAGTCACAGAAATTCATATTGATTTCAGTAGTGAGCATCGTTTACATAAGAACCCTGTTTCGGATACTCCTTTCGCAAGTGTCTGAATAGCAACACCAATACTGTGCACAATTTTTTTTTAGAAAGCAAGCTATATTAGTATATATTCACACACAACTATTTGCATAAATGCTTCTGTGTTTGCCACATTTGCCTTTGCAAAAAAGTACATTTGTCATTTAAGGCTTTTAACTTAAGCTATGTGTATTTTTTAGCTTAAGTTGCATGATCATAAAAGCCAGTGAGCCTTTTACTGGAGTGAGCAGAGCTGAGCTGTACATTGTTCCCTATAAATCAGTATTATCTGGGATAGAGCAGTGATTTCAATAGCAACTACAGGAGATATAGCTACCTGCTCTCTATTAGTTTTAATGAAGCTGAGAATTCTATATCCCCTGGAATACTGTTTCTTTTATGTCTTTGTTTGCACAGCATGGACAAATGTTGACCTACTAATGGCATCTTCTGTAAAACCATTGCTGACTAGTGGCTTTTTGAGTTTGGTGTAGATGAAGCAGGTGTGGAAATTTAAAAACACCCTACTGCCAAACTAATGAGTGTATCTAAAAGCATTAAATGTGTGGACATTTACATGCTTCCTTCAAGAAGGCTGTAAGAGTTTACCTGCAAACAACTGCATTTTCCTTAATGAAGCTTCCATTCAGACATTGTAGATATAAAGCCAGCCAATATGGAGGACCTGACGGAAGTGATTACAGCCTCTGAGTTTCATCCCCATCACTGCAATCTCTTTGTCTACAGCAGCAGCAAAGGATCCCTGAGACTCTGCGACATGAGGGCATCGGCTCTCTGTGACAAACATTCCAAGCGTAAGTCCTTGCTTCATTGAACCCCAGATGTTGTTAAAGTCTTATTATTCACAGACAGCATGTAGACGTGTGTGTACCCCAGTGTATTGGCTTCTCAATTGCAGGCACAGTTGAAAAGAGAACAGCAAAAGGAAGAAAATTTTCTCATCTATACAAGTATTACCTATGAACTTGAAAACAGTCATGTCTGTGACTGGTGGTCCTTGTGGTTCTTATTGCAGGGATCAGTGAAGAACCCACAACTCTAGCAAAAGAGAGATGATTCCTAATGTATAGGGGGTGGTATTTAAGTGGATGAGCATACGACTACTGTTCTGAATACTACAGCAAGTACATTAAGTCACTCAAACTGCCTTCAAAATTTTGAATCCATTTTCTGAATTTAAAAATGTCAGGATCTCTCCTAAAAATTTAGCCCAGCATTCCCTGTATGTACTTTTTTAATAATGTGTCTGTACAAATGCAGAGGAAATAGTGGAATAAGTAATATTGGAGGCTGGGGGGGAGGGGGAAGAAAAGGAAAAGCTATTGTGTTGGTATAGAAGATGTCATCTGTCCTAAAGAGATTTTATGTAGCCTGTGAGACAGAGCTACCAGTTCATGACAGTTCATATCTGAAACCTGCATAAGAATAAGGAAGCAAAATGTTAAAATGTGGGACTGTATTTGTTCTCAAAGTCAAGGATGAAGGAAAAATGCATGTTCATAATGTCTTGCTATCAACTCTTTATAGTCTAGACAAGACAGAATATGGTTCTTTCCACCAGTAATCTGGCAAGCCTGGGCACTTTGCCTTGTGCAAACAACCTGTTTATTCCTGATCTTCTGAGACTGAAAACCACCAGACAAAGGCATTGTGTTATGTGGCTGGTTCCTATGAGGAGCTGAAACCTAATGAATCAACTGTGGTGGCTCTGCTTTAGCCACCTTCAGGACTGGGGCTTCCAGGACACTTCCATCTCACAGGATTGGGTCTCAGTTTCTTTTGCGATGTTGAAACATTCAGGAGAAATTCTCTTAGTGCCAGGGGCACGTAAGAGGTTTTATATCATTCAGTTCTTGAACCTTTTGAGGTAGGTGGATCTTATTAGTAAGGGTGGGAGAGGAGGAGAAAAACATTTGAAGATTTATGTGAGACATAAGTGGTGTACGGATTTAGCACACAAGTAATTTTTTTAACTGAAGTAAATTTAGTAAAGAGCCTATGACTAGGCGTTTTGGCTGCAAGGGGAAGTGCACATGCTCAGAACCTCTTAGGATGTGGTCTCCAATTATAGAAAATAACCTTTCAGGACAATTTCCTAAGCAGAGAAGTGTTTTACCTTTGTTAGCTGTATCCCCTTGTACTTGTAGGGGGAATTCAATACCATGAAGTGAAATGAGAGCATGACACAATCTGGTACATTGCTGAGAGTTATCCTGTCCCACTTAATTATTTTGTTCCATAATACTTTCATTTCTCCCTGTTAATAAGGCCTCCATGCCCCTGTAACTCAGTGCCAAATGCCAATCATAACTTATTAAAACAACAATACAGTAACCCTGGATGAACGAAGGCATTTTATGCCAGAAGGGACCGCAAGGTCTAATGGTCATTGATTAAACCCCATTTTCCAGATCTCTGAGTTAGAAAATAGCCATTTAATGTAGCATTGCTGCACTGAACTCAAGCTCATTGAGAAGCTGAGTGTGTACAATACAAAATTGATACAGCAATGGTAGAACTTCCAAAGTGTTAAAAGGAACAGGTCCATGTACTGCTGATAGAAGTAGTTCGAGTATAGCTCTCAGAGGCAAGCAAAACTAACTATATAAAGCCCATAGTAACCTAAAAGAATATATCATAAAAACCAATCAGTCTGCAAAATCAAATACTTGCATCATTGTCTCTCTAGTAACTTCTCTGTGCATCTAGTTCCTCTTACAGTTGCTTTACACGTGGTGCATATGCATGATCAGCACCCTACTCTCCTAGCTCAGCTCGTGTTTCAACCTTTGTCCATAACTGGCTTCACTTCTCAACCAAAGCAGCTATGACTATAGTCACTGTAAACCCTCATGTTCTGCCATGCAACTCTATTCAGTCTAATATCTCTATGTGCTGTGTTTCAGATGCTGTTCTGAGGTTGTAATGGATGTACATATTTTTAGGGATAAAAGATCCAATGTAAAACTTATTAAAAATGCGTAGATGCTGAGCATATGTTGTGAACTTTTGGTTTTACTCCTTTTTCAGACCTTTTGTTATCCAAATCCTCGATAGCTGGGCTAAAGTCAGTTGCAGGTTTTGCGAGAAGAGCCTTTCTATTTGTACAAGTCTAGAGAATGCCATGAATAATTACTGAGCCATACTGTATAAATAAATTACATACTAATATGTGTAGTGTAAGTCACTGGCACAGGGTGTTAATAAATTATACTGTTCTTGAAGATTTCTGGTTTACTGAACTCAGTGGCAAAATCTCTCTGTTCAGCATTAGTGACAGCAACAGAACAAGGTTTCCCTTATAAATCTTTCATGGTTCTGACATGGAAGAGACAAGAGACCTCTTCCACATCTACTTATCCTTGGTGCCTATGCTGAGATTTATTAGCAAGCTGCCAATCTATGTGATGAGTTGTGATGGGCACCTCTGTCCCTTAGAAAAATGATCTTGGATCACCAAATCCATCCATAAGACATTGACAGAATACCAGGTCAGAAGCTGACATTTAAATGGTCATTGAGATACTGATAAGGTGTGAGAAAATGTGTTGTTCTTCTGATAGACTATCTGAAATGGCTTCTCATAACACCTCTTTAATAGATCATGCAATGCTGGGTGAGCAATCAGAAGCTAAACATATGTGGCCATTACAAATGGATATCCAGGGAAGCCCAATCTGTAACCATAGGGGAGATACATACATAGTGCTGTTCTGTGTTATTATCAGACTTCACAAGTAGTGGGAGACAGTTCCATCAAAATATTCTGGAGAGATGAAAAAAGAGATGCATGTCTCTGCTGATTTAGAACATTAGAGGGGTGGGAATAAGGAAGAAGGTGTTCTTGCAGTCCCAAGAAGTTATAGGTAAAGATTTAAAACACATATGAAATTCAGACTCAAGCAGCAAGAAACAGGGAATTAATTTAAATAATGTGGAAACTTTCATCTAAATAGCATATGTGGCAAAACAGCATCGTGTATGAGGTGTTTGATTCAGACAGCATGCATGGCAATGCAATGTAGAAAGAAGGCAGTATATGGGAAATCTATGACGGCAGTGAAAAAAGGGAAGCTAACAACTGCAAAAGTGTCATTGTTAGAGCAGTTAGCTCGGAACATCCAAGAAATAAAAGAACTGTTCCCACCTCAAATTCCATAAATTCTCATTCAAGGGATTCAGATGGCAAGGAAGACGAGCATAAGTACAGTTGCAGTAAGATCATCCTGACTAAAGAATACTTACAGCAGTATATTATGCAACTGTTCAATTAAAAAATAGTTGCTAATTTGGTTCTGATCTTTTCTTTCTAATATTATGTTCAGAACTCCTTATAAACGTACATGGAGATAGTATCATTCTTCCAAACAGCTTGTAGGCTAGATAGGTACGTATGGCTGTTTCAACAAATCATCCAATAAAGCAGTCAGCTAAAGAAAACTGAGCTTGAGCATGTGAAGTCAGAAAAAAATGAAGGGCTTTTTCAATAGTTCATCAGAATTATTAAATTCAGAATTAAGTGGCAAATACAAACTGCAGAGTTATGCAACATGGAAATTTAAGTCACTGAAGAGTGTAACTCCTATTGGTATTCCTTGTAATAGCCTTAAAGTCATTGCATGCTTCAGAAATTGCAATCTATTTAAATGCTGTATGCTGCTTTAAGGATTTTTTTAGTGTTAATTTCTTAATATGTATTTGTAGACTAAAACTCTATTTCTAATTATCTGTTACCTATTTGCAAAATTTACAACAAAATACTTCAAGGAAGGAGGAGCTGCAGTTTCAAGTTTATTACTGTGATGATCTTTAAAATACAAACTTTGGGATTACATAAAGCAGTTATCCTCTGTCACCATTAGTTCATGATTTCCATCCTCCATACAGACTTCACAAGCTTCTGCCATCTGGGTCTGTCACAGGGGCCATTTAGAGCCCCTCTCCCTTTGACCAAAGAAGCATTTGTAGATGACAGGCAACCCTAACAGCCATCTTCTCTGGACTGGCCCTGAAAGGGGCAAAGCCTCTCAGCTGGTGCCTTCCCAATTCCATGGCATAGATAACCAGTATCTTAAAAGTATAAAATGGTCTTTGGAGCAACACAGAGTGAATTTGGGACTTGGTTTGTGACTCAAAGATGTGGTGGCATCGTCTTTTTTCCTTGAGAGCTGTTTACCACGTTTTTATTTGAAATCCAGGAAAGAAATGCCAGCCCTTCCCCAAGGATAAATGCCTCTATCTTGTCAGTCTGGTGTGTAACTCAGTTTGGTTATCTGCTGGGTTTTTTGAGATTACCTTTGATTTTAAACTTAAGAATTAAGAACTGCGGAAGCAACTAAAACAGAAATCAAGGTTAATCTACTTGAACATGTTGAATTTTTAAAATTAAATTAATTACATTTATCAGTCGTTTAAAGGAGACTGGAATTTCAGAGTCAAGACAGCTTTCAGACCTCTAACTGAATATGGATTATCTTTCATTTGCAACAGAGAACAACCAGATGCACAAAAAACCCTGTGACAGAATATCCCTGCTGGATTTGCTAATTAATATTGACCTTTCCAAATGGATGATGCTTATTGTAGGACTGGAAAAGAGACAACTTGTTTTTCTTTTATGTGAGCTTTACATTTAAAATACACTTTTTATTTCTGCATCTGGTCTCATGTCAGGTTATCATATGAGAGAGAGACAGCCAGCATTCTCCTTTTGTGCATTGAGAAGCCACTGTTGAAGTAATGTCTACTTCAGGCAGAATCTGCAAGGTTTCTTGTGACAGGAGTGAAACTTATC